AACATGCGGCATCTCTTCCATCGCATTATTCAGCATAAATGGTCCGATTTCTCTCACGGATTTTCAAGGTGTTTTTGCAGTGCTTACCTTGACGGAATTGGCACAAGGGACAAGTACGGTGGTTTACGCATCAATCTGTCCAAAGGCAGTGTATGTGCTCGAGAATTTGTCGGTTTGTTCATTACAGTAAAACATTTCTGGTTCTCCTTCGTAGATCACGTAACCAAGGCATGTAACGGCAACCCTCGTCCGTTCACTGCCATTTGGGTAACCGTTCCTAGCGAAAAATTTCATTTGGTTTCTGCGTTATGCGCGGACCCACCGGATGGTCCTGGCCTACAATTTCATCATGCTACTGGTCGTTCGGCAACTCTTATTCGTTGGTTGGATGAAGGCCCGTCCAGAATCCCCGAATACGCGACCCATCAGCTTGGGGTTGCAGGTAAGCTCGTGAAATCTGTTTTTGTCGTTCAAACGTTCACTTAACTAATCGTTCTCAGTAGTGTCAATCACTGTGTTTCAGTACGGTTGATGGATCTTTTTACTGTTCACTTAAATTATTTATGCAAATGTATTCCTCATGCACAGTTATCCTTTCGTTCACCAGTGAAAAACCTTGGATGCCGCTGCTGTTTCATTCGCTGTTTTAGGAATGCCTATCCACCCATACCAGTTCGAATAACTCGAGTACTTGGCTCGGGGGTTAACCATCCCTCATGCTTGAGTTCGAATCCCAGTGGATGTGCACTGCTAATGATCCACACAAAAAACCGTGAATTGCTCTCGAGACTTTTCCATGGCGAGTGGCAGGTTAACTCACCATCAGTTTCTACAATCTTATTCGTTTCTTATAAATTGCAATTATTGCAATTTTGGGTTTAAACTTTGTCAAACGAATCATCGCAAAAGAAGCTGTTAATGACTATAGCGCATTGTTTTTTTATCACACATGTTTTGATTTACTGCAAAAGGAGTGAACTCCATAGTCAATGACATACTGTACAGGGGAAGGTGTGGGGAGATATTCAGGTGAGAACCAGCTTCTTAATCCTGCTTTTGAATGTGTCTTTGTGTCTTTTACTTCCTTTTTCATTTGTTGAATGTACAGTCAACTTTCATGAAGGAGGCAGCGGCCATACAAAGGCTGTCTGGGAAAATACAGAAAATGGGGGAACATGAGCGTTGATGAATTGGTGCGAACGCGGGACTTCCAGATTACTATTTTGATGACCTTAAAGCCACTTGACCATCACCGCGGATAAAGAGTAAGCGTATGTGTCTGGAATTGCTGTCCTGCTGCCCCAACTGAACATGATTTTCTCAGGGGGTAAAAAAACAGTCTTGTGCTAACCAAATGACCGGAGCTGTTTGTGACAATCACAGTCCGTTAATGATCAATGTCAGTAGACGTCAGACATTTTCACTGAAGTTCAAATCCGAACTGTGGGCTGACCAGTCCATGGTCTTGATCGTTCGGTGCAGCTGGTACATTATGATGGAATAGCAGCCTATGTGTATAGAAGCATCATCGTGTTGACAGAACGTGGTTCTCCGTCAATTTTCTGCGATCGCGAGAAGAAGAAATTCGTTCAATTTTTCTGACTTAGTATTCAGTAGTCTGATTTTCTCCGGCAATTGCCAACTGCGACTTTCCATCCACGAAAATAGCACCTCAGACCACGGCAGACCCCTCGCCATAGGTTCGACGACTGTAGGCTAACTTGCTTAACCTAACCTAACGAGGCCTTATGCGGTTCGCCACTTCAAGTCACGAGGCTTAGGTTACCGCCTTCCATCACTGAACAGTAGGTCCTCGTGACTGTGCGGTTCACCCCGTCTCCTGTTCATCACACTACGGTGTAATAAAAAGAGTCCATTGAGTCCTTGGGATTAAACCTCTCTGCAGACTGAATATTTTTCTATTCAGATGTCCAGTTGGTGTGAGTTCTCATTCATTAATATGACGGTCTGTGATCGATTGTACTGATCGTATTTTCCTAAATTAGTTATTTTATTCAATTTCTAACAGTCGCTGCATATTCACCTCCAAGTGTAACGATCGGTGTAACTTCGACACGCTTGTTATCTGATTTGGAAGCAACACGTAAGAGCGGCCTCGTGCCTTGATCTACGGAGTTATTATTGTTAGTCTAAAAACTGGCAGTTGTAGGACGCTCTAGCCTCCTTGGTTGAAGATAGGATAACATCTGTGACTCGAGATACTAGCCAACGTGGCACGAAAATGGTGTCAATTATACACTCGGTACATGGCTCTCATTCGCTGATTTGTACTCAAACCTTTCCGGATCTCTTCTATCTGTTTCGGTGCCTTGCCCTAATCTATTTATGTGTTTTATATCACCGATATGGGTCAGCAAAAATGTTGCGAGCAACCCGCGGTGATTGGTACATTTCCCCCATTAATCTGGCCAATACTGGTGCCCAGGTTATTGTAGGCGAATACGTTTCCTTATTCCACCTGCGACAGCTCAGAATCGCGTGTTATTCTCCTGTTCTTACAAATGACTTAGGGGGCCATGAACTTAACTACGATGCGCGATCTCGATGGTTGTTGTTCATCTGCCGTGTGTGTAGTGTCAATATTGTGTATTGCCTAACACATTTGAAGCGTAACTGTCCCATATAACCAACGTGGCAAGGCACGGATTGCATTCTAATGACAACACTCGGAGTGGGTATGATCTAATTTCGACCACACAGGGGTGAGATAAATCGGTGAATGAGTAATTACATTCCTTTTTAGGATAGATACCATGACGACAACGCCCAAACATTGGTCTATAGTTCCACTCTATATTGCCTCATTGTGTTCTTCATAAGTCAACGCCTCAATGTGGTAGCGAGCTGCCTTGCATTGTGGTTGGTCACCTTTTCCTTGCATCTCACGAAGTGCTCCAATACGATCAAGCGTCTCAAACAGCTTCTACTGAGGAAGACCTACTCACTGCCTTTCCGTGGCGCAGTTTATTCCCACCAATGTGAAAGGGCAAAAAGCGAAAATCCGGGGGGCTATAACCGGGTCGGTGTACCACTTGCAGTTCACCTAGGGGAGTTGACCAAAAACCCTGTTTCCAAACCAACTAAGAAGAAACGTACGAACCCGCACCTTTCTGGTTGTGGCAGTGGTTACGGGCTCAAATGGGCACAGAGATGTATGGGCTACCATGTACGTTTGACTCTGTCCAAAAGATGTGTAATCCAATTAACTGGACACTGACCCCCAATAGATTGCGGTTTTCACACATTACCCCGCTGTCTTCCGGGTCAGATTTTGGTTAACCGAGAGCTCCGGTTGGGAATTCCCCAAGAACATTCACCTACTTTGGTCTGGGTAGCGTGGCAGTATCTTGCCCGCGAGTAAATCGTAGAACGTTTTAGTTTTATGAAGATTATCGTACTGTGATTTGCTTGGTACATAGTCTGGATTCAGACGTGTGTGAAATACAGTAACAATTGCCCACTCGAGGTGCGCCTTTCAAATGAATTTTACCGGCTGTCATACATTCAGATCACTTTAGTTCTACAATCTTGTTTTGAAGGTGCTGAGGTTCCCGAGTGATTCCTTTGCTGAATTCGAAACATCCCTCGTTGTGGCCTTCGTTTGTCACAGAAAGCTGACCCCTACTAGAGATACAGCGGCGTGTACTGAGAGTGAATGAAGGTCAAAAATCGGACCGCAAACATAATGTGATGTGTTCCGTCCAGCCCCACGTGATCAAATCTAGCAAACCGGTCTTGTCATGTGTTGCAAGTGGGAACTAATCGGCTGAGATGTTCTTTTCTATTTTGTGGCGGACAACACAACATGCGCGCCAGCAAATGATATGTTGTCAGGCTCCGGAGAAACTGGACACGGATATTTTTCATTCCATAATCTGCCGTCCCGGAAGAGCATGTAGTTGCACTTTATTTTGTCGCTCAATATCGAAGCAAACTGCCGACCAGTTCGCACTATAATTAACTTGTCACAGATGTTATATTTTTGACCATGTTTGCCAAATTTGTAAGATAAATAGGTCACGAGTGACTTGACATTGCAAATTTAGACCATTCAGTGCGATTGAAAAAAGCAGTAGGAGAAAAAATGGACCAAACAAATGAAAAGTCTCGCAACCACATTGACCCTCTTCGATTGCACGAGACTGGCTGTCTGTAACACGAGTATCATTGCTCGAACACCC